GGTGGATAGTGATAGGACAAGGGGAAATGGTTTTACACTGAGACAGGGGAGGTTTAGGTTAGATATAAGGAGGAAGTTTTTCACCCAGAGGGTGGTGAAGCACTGGAACAGGTTGCCCAAGGAGGCTGTGGATGCCCCATCCCTGGAGGCATTCAAGGCCAGGCTGGATGTGGCTCTGAGCAGCCTGGTCTGGTGGGTGGTGACCCTGCACACAGCAGGGGGTTGAAACCGATGATCATTGTGGTCCTTTTCAACCCAGGCCATTCTATGATTCACAGATTGATATTAAGATCAAAGATGCTCTTGGCAGATACCATCAGTGTGCTACTATCCAACTTGATTTCCAGCTACCCATTCGATTTAATCTTACTTACGTTGGGTGAGTGATTAAAATACTTATCTTCCTCTTCTAACTAGAACAAATAGAATACTTATCTGCAATTTCCATAAACTGAGCTATATTAATGCTCTGTTGCTCACTTAGCAAATTATTAGTTTGCATCTAAGTAGCCTGCAATGGGTTATGAAGGAAAACATCTCTGGAGAGTGGAGAACTCAGTCCAGAACTTGAAGGTTTTTCTCCGTATGACGATAGCTCACTTTAATTGTAAATGCCATTGTTTGTGGGAAAACTTGGTGACCTGTCTATTTGTCTTGAGAAAACTGGTGAGCAACTGATTATATGGCTCAGTTCTTAATTTTAGTCTAGTCATCGTGTTGTCTTTGAGGACATTGCATTCGTACTCAAACGTCCGTTGAGGAGATGGTATGTTTGCAGTAGGAAATGCTTTGCTCTTTTTGTTGGATAGAATTAGGTGACCTTGAAGAACATAAAGCGAATGCAAGTAGTTTTTTAAGGAAAATGTCACTTAGACTTCCAGCTAAGAAAAGAGATTTTATCATCTGAGTGTGTTAATTTTAGAACCATGTCTTCTGGGTTGTTTTTATTACGATGTTTATTTTTATATAATACAAAAAGTTTGAGGGAAGTGTTGGTTATTTTTGGTTCTGCTGCATATTCTTCGGTAGACATCACAGCTCTTCAGTAGAAAATAAGATTAGAAACAGCAGCTGGCCTTTTTTTTTTTTTTTTTTTTTTTTTTTTCCATAACCAGAGGTGTGTATCTTAAAGAAAGAAATGAATAATGAGGGCAGATAAAATCCTGTGCAAGAAGACGAGTTCAAGTCGTAGTGGAAAAGAGGGGAATGATATAAAATATTAAAATACAGAGACAAGGAGCTGTCAGTTTTGGAGTCAAATCGTAGAGTGTGCTTTTTAAAGCTTAAGAACTTGTCTATGTCACAGTCATTCTGATTACTCTGCATTCCTTCAAAAGCATGATTCATTCTGAAGTAGATTTTTAGTAGCAAGTGGCAATTTTTGCTTAGTATATATTACTGTTTTTTTACTGTGATAAGTAAAATCAAAAGAATTAGTAGGATTGCATGTATGTGATCTAGGAGAAGTGTGGTTTTGAAATTATTTTCTTTTTCAGCAAAGATGGAGATGATAAAAAGAGACCAGTGATTATTCACAGAGCTGTTCTGGGATCTGTGGAGAGAATGATAGCTATTCTAGCAGAAAATTATGGAGGAAAATGGTATGTGACACAAATACAATTCTGAGAAATATTTAACAATGTGGTTAGGAAATATAGGTCTTCCCTAATGTCTCATACATCACCTTACAAAATGATTTCTCTAGGGTTTTCTCAACAGCAGGTGAGATGAAATGAAATCTAGTTTTGCAGTTCCCGTTGTGTGTTCTACTAATAGCTCATGGTTAAAAATTCTGTGAGATACGAATTGCAACTGAATGTGTGTGTGCTGCACTTTACTTCTTCCTTTTTATTGGAAGATGCTTAATATACATAAAGTAGATGCTTACACAGGCATAAATTAGCCCAGATATGTGATTTTTTTTTTTTTTAATTTGTAAGTTGTTCTATTTCATCTCTAGTTAGCTCTGAAGATATTTCTTCTTTAATAGATTGAAGGATTAAGGAAGAGTGAATTCTCACCTTTAAATGCAGAGACTACTCACCTAGTACTATCAAGTTATATAACAAATGAAAGCAGAAATTATGTGAAGAATTGAAATTCTATTTAAATCTGTGAAATTGGTAGGAAGCAAACAGAAGGTCAAAGTTCTGTGCATGCCATTTTATTGGACTCAGTCTGATTGATATTTTATGTGAATTGAAAAGTGTAAAGGTAACATGCAACATTCTTAGCTTACAATTCTGTGGATATGAATGAAAACGTAGAATGCTCATTTATCTTTTCTTCTTATTGGGTTTGCCAGGCCATTCTGGCTGTCTCCACGGCAGGTCATGGTTGTGCCTGTGGGGCCTACTTCTGAAGAGTATGCACGGCAGGTGAGAATACAGCTTTATGCAGCAGGCAATTTTAGTAGCTCCTGAAATACTCATCCTTGAGTGAGCAGTAAATGCTTTAATAATACAGCAGATGCTTTTGGGTCAAGTCATTTTTTTCCATGCCCTCTAAAATTGTGTAAGCCTGAGAAAGGGAAATATAACAAAATATTTGGGGTTTTGTTACCATGTACAAACTTCAGTAATAATTACAGGAAAAATGTTCTGAGCTACTTAGCTTACATACTAATAAATTTTAGTTTTCACTGTATTCACTGTATTTCACTGTAGAATTATCCCCTTAAAGTGTAGGGGTAGACTTGGTTTCTTCCGCTTTCTAGGATATAGGCAAAGTTCTTCTTACCAACTCCCACCCCCTTTTAGTGCAAACATAAATGGTTCTCTTCCTTTTCTTCTTTCTGTGGCTGAGGCATTTTGGCATTCAGCAGTGTAGCTGTCTGAGAGGATCAGCAAATGTTTGATACGAATGTTAACTTGTATTTCTTCTAACAAGGAATTGCTAAGCACTAAGGTCCTGTCAAGCTTTTAAGAGTGTGTGCAGTTTTCTTTGAATAATTGTGTTGATTTCATTAATACAGATGTTCATAAGAGCTAAATTATCTATATTTGTAAATTATTTATTGGACGGAATCTCGTAAAGTATATGCTGTAATAGTAAACGTCTTTTTTTAGGTTTGCACTGAGTTTTTTGAAGCAGGATTTATGTCAGATGTGGATTTGGATCAGAGCTGCACACTCAACAAGAAAATCAGAAATGCACAACTGGCTCAATATAACTTTATCTTAGGTAACTGTAGAGTCTTTCTGCATATCATTTAAGTTCTGATGTTGGGCATGGTTTGTCTAGACTCAATAATGTAGGTAGTTTAATATTGTTTGTGATATATCTTGCAGTGGTTGGTGAAAAGGAGAAAGCAAATCATGCTGTCAATGTGAGAACAAGAGACAACAAAGTTCATGGAGAAATTTCGGTATCTTCTGCAGTTGAGAAACTCAAGAAATTTAAGAGTTTGCGTCTTCCAAATGCAGAAGAAGAATTCTGATGTTGCTACTAAGGACAAAAACTACAGATATGAACTGCCCATGTGAAATGGTGTTGCTTTCCTTCTCCATAGCAGTAATGCTCATCTGAAAGAATTTGAAGCATGGACACACAAGCCGAGCAAAGGTAGCAGTGTTGATTCTACAAGAATAGCATGAGAAAACAACTGCAGTGGGTGACTCCTTTAACTGTCCTGTGGGACTCTGCTCAGTGCTGGTTGCAGAACCCTTTTTGTCAGGCATCCTACACTTCTGCTGAAATATGTCAGTTTTACAGTGTAAATAGGTAGTGCTGTACTAGCTGAAGGAGCAGAAGGCTGGGAAATGTGCTGACTGCAGCTGTTGAACTACCTCAGTCACACAGCAGCTGCTGAACTGACATGGCCTTGGCTCTTGGGTTTTCCTTTTTTCTAACTCTGAATTGTCAAATATGTGTCAGATATTGGAGTAAGGGAGTAGCCTGTTCCTTCATGAATTTCTGCTCACAAGTGATAAATAAATGGTATCTGTTGGAAATCACAATGTAACAAGGTACTGAATGAGCCCATGCCTTCGGTAACTGCTTGCTGTAAAGGCGATTACCAAGAATGAAGTTGAATTAACCACCATATCCGTGTGTGGGAAGTATTTTATTTCTGCCTGTATGTTGTTGACTTGGTTCTTTGAAAACAATCAAAAAAAATCCCACTCAATTTGCCTTTCAAAGAATTGGGCATGTGATTTATTGCTGTGGTTGCTTGGGACACTGTGTGCTGAAACTGGGTGATGTAATCTTCATTTTTTTGTTTCAAGTGTGTTGGAATACAAATTGGTTCTACTTCCCTGATCTGATTGTTTATGCTTATAAATGATTTTTAAAGTTAACTCTGCAGGGCATTTAATCAGTGTTTTTGATATGTGATTTTTAACCACGAGTATTTTTTCCACTATTATGTGCTCTGTCAACCTTTGTAAACATACAGCCACGAGTTGCAAGTGCTCTTTGACACAGATGTTATTACAAGCACGCCAGTGCTTCCCCCTGCCTGCAGCCTGTGTTCCATGGCCGCGTGCTTTGTGCCATGCTAGTTGGCTTGTGACCCAGCTTTAACTGATTGCCACCCACAGAAAAAAGAAAAGCGAATTGTAGGAAGGAGGATGGGGAAAGCTTTCTGTTCAGCTTTACAGAATTAATGTCAGATGATTGGGGTAACTTTTTTCTATTTTTAAGCATATATTCTTATCTGTGGAAGTTTTGTTTTGTGTGGGCTACATTCACCTTCCATGACCCGTGATGTGTTCGGGCTCCAGCACTGAGGGGCAGTAGTTTAAGATGAGCTTCCCGCCCTTTCTAGTACCGGGCTTTAACACGTGTATCCGTGCTGTAGCCGTGGCAGTTTTTAGAGGACCTGCAGGACATGCTCTAACTCTATGCGGGGAGAAGCACGTGAAGGACAGCGGCGCTGAGGAAAGGCGGGAGGGAAGCACAACCGCTCTGCCGGGTTCGGCCCCGAGCACCGCCTGCGGGCGGGCGCGCTCCGCCCCTCTCTGGGCAGGCGCCGGCCGTGAGGCGGCGGCAGACAAGATGGCGGCGCCGGCGGGGCAAAGCGCGCTGCGGCGGCTCTGCGGCGTCGCGCTCTTCGTGTCGCAGCTCTACGTCCTCTCCGGCCGCGGTGAGCGCGGTGCCCCGGCCGGGCTGGGGAGGGCAGTGAGGACGGGCAGGGCGGGCCCGGCGGAGCCTCAGCGCGGCGGCTGCCGCTCTCGGGGTGGTCGGGCGGGGCCGGGGCTGCTGGCGGGGCTGACCTCAGACGCGCGGCCTGGAGGTGGGCGGCGGAGCGGTGCCCCCTGACGCTCACCGGGCGGCACCGTTGCCCGGGCGCGGCCCCGTGCCGCAGCTCCGCGTGAGGAGCAGCTGCAGTGCGCGGTGCGAACGCGGCGGGAAATGAGCGGTGAGAAAACAAGGCTGAGCTGGAACATCAGCGCGGGTTGTCTGAAAGGTGTAAATCACTTCTGCTCGTCTTTGATATTTAATGTTTACATCTTATTATTTATAAAATGGGAAACCTGACTTACATTTTTATTATTATTGCACTTTCCGTGTTGTTTTTTTTTTTTTCTCTTTTAACCAATGTGCTGAAATCAAACCGTTCCTGGTGCACTTTATTCTAAAAATACCACTTTCTCCTTTTTTTTTTTTCCCTCTCACAGCAGGATCTTTGATGGCCACGAAGCATTCACAGCCACAGTCCACATTTGCAAAAAGCCTGACTTCAACAAGCACAGACGCTCCCTACTTCAGGGCAGCAGGTACAGTGTGTTGCTGTTCCCTGTGTTTTAGCCCTGTGGGTTTTCTCCTCCGAGTATTGAGGTTACCAGTAAAGCTCTTCAGTTCTGTCTTAGAAACTTCTGTGTTCTTTTAGAGAAGTTGTAGAGCATCATATCAAGAATTACTCTTCAATAACCATAAGAAATGATTTGTGTTATGCAGTTAGAAAACTTGTTCATATAAAATCTTAAAGTTAAAGAGTAGTTCATGTGTTTTATGCCTATGATGGATGGTGGAAATTCTGGAGAGACTTCAGAGTTCTGCAAGAAGTTGTTACTGCTCCCAGTGCAATTAAACACAGCTTTTGCACATCCCTGAGGGTACGCAGAGGTAAGTGTTTCAGACAGGGAGTAAATTAAGAGGTGATTCTGAACACATGTGAACAACACATGTCTGTGAGCAGGTCCATGCTGAGTGTTGTTGTGCTGGGCTGTGCTGTCCAGTGCAGAACTTCTCAAGATCCTTGCAAGTTGCTCTGCTATGTCATATAGTATAGATTCCGCACGTTGCAAATTAAGGAAAGTCCTTTATATGGTATCAACACACACGTATGTATTTGAATATGCATGCTTCAAACTAGATTGCTTTTTTAAATTAGAATTTTTTTATAACTTCATTTACATATTTCATCTTTCAGAAAGTACAGAAATTCCAGCTTATGTGACTAAGTGTCCAAGCAATGGACTTTGCAGTAGGTTGCCACCAGACTGCATGATATGTAACACAAATTATTCCTGCATATATGGGAAGCCAGCCACTTTTGATTGCAGAGTCAAACCGCATGTTCATTGTGTTGTAAGTAACCTATTATTTTTAAAACTAATTTTGAGTAATTTAATTAAACTGTGACATCTTGTCATGAAATATCTGTATATTTTTAAAAACTTCTTACATATGCAGTTTGTTAGGTTATCATAGGCAGGTTATCAGTTTTTTGTGATTGAGCTGCAGGCAGTTGGTAGAGAGTCAGACCTACTCTTCTCTGCTTGCCTTTCTTGCTTTGGATCTTGTTATGCAGCCACTGATCGATTGTGTTTAATTGGCGTGCTGACCAATGAGAACTGAACCGGTTTGAGAATGGGGAGGCTAATGTCTGTCAGAGGTTGAAACCGAATGAGTAAGAACAGTCAATTTGGCAGCAGCCTCATTTGGAGTAGAGGAAGCAGTAGTACTAAAACTGTGTTTTAATACCTTTGTCACTTTTATCATGTTGATTTTTCTACTGGATATGGAGGTAACAAAGAGCAACTGACGTTTTGCCCAACATTTCTATCTATGAGATGCAGTTTGATACTGAAAGCTGACCGTTTCTTGATTGCTAATGAAGTGGTAATGCTGTCCTTCTGTAGGATCAGAATAACCATGAGCAGGAGAACTTTACGATTAACATGACGTGCCAGTTTTGCTGGCAGCTTCCAACAACTGACTACGTGTGCACCAATTCTACAAACTGCATGACGGTTTCCTGTCCCCGGCAGCGATACAATGCCACTTGTACAGTGCGGGACCACATCCACTGTCTGGGTAATGTGCCGTACCAGGGATTTTGTGAAGGATTTTTCTAAATGGCTTTTTAATGTTGAGTCAGCACAGTGATTGTTTATGTTGATTACAGTAACAATCTGCACCTTGATCAATCTATTGGATTTTTTTTTACAGTTGCGTTTTAATTTTTGTTTATAAAAGTGATAGCTAACTGCAAACATTGTTTTTCAGGACTGTTGTATACCTTTCATGTGAGGGAAAATTGGTCTTTCTTTTTGTTAACTTTTATGACTTAAACTACTTTGCACAACATTAATAGAATCAATTTCAAACGTCTCAGGATAATGGAAAAAGTCACACTGGTGTCACCCCACTAGTTTAATTTTTCCCTGTTTATTTGTTCATTTACCATTCATGTTTTCTGATGTGAGACAAAGTTTGATGGTTTATGGAGGACTGTAAAATGTAAGATTTTCTCAAAAATTCTTGTTTCAATCACTGCTAACCCTTTTAGTGCCTTGTTAGAGGAATACAGTGAGTGTGGCTTCATATGTCATTTTCTTACTTATTATGTGATTATTTTTTTTTTTGTCAGTTGCATTAAGGTTCAAACCTTTTCTAACATTCAGGTAACAGAGTCTTTCCAAAGATGCTGTATTGCAACTGGACTGGAGGATATAAGTGGTCTACTGCCCTGGCACTAAGGTATACACAAGAGCTATTAGCGGAACTTAAGCTGACATGAATTAGTGCGAACGCGTCATGTATAAAATCTTTGTTCCACATTATTCAGTGCAGTGGGTAGTTTATAATGGTTTAGAATTTAGAACTTGGAGGCATATGATGACTGAAGATTTTGTATTAGCTGTCTTCAGTAGAGCTTGAAAGAAAACCTTTACCCTACTTCTGCATTGGATGTGCTTTCTTTAGAGTAAATACCAATGATTCTGAAGCCTCGAGTGATTCTCTGAGTAGAGGGGACACGCTTTCTGTATGGTAACAGATGAGCTACTGAAATAATGTAATGAGGTACTGAAGTAACAGATGAGAATGCTGAGATAATTCTGTGGACTTCACATTGTTTTCTCCCCCTTTGTAATATACTTAAAGCAATTAAGGCTGAAAATCATCCAAATAATCTCTTGAATGTAGCTATTTCTGAATTTGATGAGTATCACTGATCATTGTGTACATGGTTTACACTTTTTAAGGCTTCTTTTCCAAGTGTTATAGCTGGAAATGCTTTAAAAGGAAAGATTCTTTAATTTTAAAATTATTAAGGTAGAAAGCTGCATAGCAGTTTTGAAATAAACTATTTAGGTAGCTTTTGACACATTAAGCCATTAGAGAACTGCAACAATGATTTGAAAGTACAGGCAGTTCTTTTGGTGTTTTTTTGGGGGGTTTTTTTGGACATTTTCCAGTAAGTTTTAGAGGTTCAAAAATGATGAATTATGTAGCAACAATCCATATTCTCCAAGGCAAATACATAAGACTGTGATTAAGGACATAATGTAACACAGTTGCCTTCACAGCAGGAGTCATTCCTGCCACCAGCTGAAGAAGTTGGCTCTTGTGTAGGGATGAGTGTGCTGTTTTTATAGCCTATTTTCAAGCTTCTACAAAGTTAGAAAAGTAGAGAAGTTTTGTTTTCATTGCTTGCCATGAATGGAAAAACTGTCGAGTCTCCGGGTGCTGTAAATGTAACTGTAACATAACACAGAAGTAATGAATTGTTTTTATTCGCACAGCATCACTCTGGGTGGATTTGGAGCAGATCGTTTCTATCTGGGCCAGTGGAGGGAAGGTCTGGGAAAACTCTTCAGCTTTGGTGGACTTGGAATATGGACACTGATTGATGTGCTGCTAATTGGCGTGGGCTACGTGGGACCTGCAGATGGCTCTCTTTATATTTAATGTAGTTGTAATTTCCAAGAGGAGTAATTGCTTGGAAAGGGCTCCCTATAGAAGCGTGTAGGAGTCTGAGCCCTTAAGATAGAATAAAGAACAGTTGTTCTTTCTGTGTGGATACATTTTAACGTACAGTATCTGTACTTAGTTTGCCTTTAAATAAGGTAAAACAAAAGGGTGGATCACTAAATTGAAGTTAATTTCCCTTCATTTATGGATGTGCTGCTTTTCTGAGAAAGGTTGATTACCAATATATGTCAATAATGTTTTTTTTCCATTGCGCACTTGCGGGAGGTTAATTTATTTGCCTGAGGGCACTGTGCTTGCTGATCTTCATTGCATTCATCTCTAGCTTTTGCTTCTGACTGGTTACTTAGAAATGGGGCTACAATTAGATGGCTCTGAGGCTCAAAGCTAAATGCAAAATAACCGCAGTACCTTTGAGTTCCAGGATGGCTTTGTTTCGGTTGGGTTTGACCTGTGTACGAGTGGAAATACCTCGTTCTGTGCCAGCCAGCCATCCTGCAGGTCGATCTCCGAGCCGGAGGCGTGGCGGTGTGCCCGCAGCCTGGCCGCCCCTCCGGTCAGCCGGAGCTCCGAGGGGCGGTGGTCGGACGGTTGTTTCACTCAATAAACTTGATGTTGGAGCGGTACTTGAGTTTCTGGTCGGTTGTGCTTTCCGTGAACTCTCCGCCCGGCGGGCCCTGCGGGGCGGTGCGCCGTTATGGCCCCGCCCCGGCCCGCCGTGTGCCACAAAGTGCCGTCATGGCGGCGGAGCGGGAGCGGCGCTTCTATCGGGAGCTGCCCAAAGTGGTGAGCGGCTCCGGGCGGCGGCTGCGTGCGCGGCCTCGAGGGGGGCAGAGCCCTGCCTGCCCGCCGGGAGGTGGGCCGGGGGCTGGCACGGGGCGGCGGGTTTTGTCCCACGGACTTGGTGAATGGTCCGGGTGAGGGGATTGAGTTGCACCCTCGGTGAGTTTGCAGATGGCGCCGCGTCGGGAGGACGCGTCGATCTGCTTGAGGGCGGGAGACCCTGCAAATCCATCTGGGTAAGCTGGATCGCTGTGCTGAGACCGACGGGATGATGTTCAACGAGACCAAGGGCCGGGTCCTGCAGTTCAGTCACAGCAACCCTGTGCATTGCTGCAGGCTGACAGAGTGGCTGGGAAGCTGTGTGGCAGAAAAGGGTCTGGAGGTGTTAGCTGACAGCTGGCTGAGCGTGAGCCAGCAGTGTGCCCAGGTGGCCAAGAGGGCCAATGGGCCAATGGCATCCTGGCTTGTATGGGAGACAGCGCAGCCAGCAGCAGCTGGAGGTGGTCGTCCCTCTGTATGCAGCTCTGGTGAGGCTGCATCTTGAATACTGTGCTCAGTATATATAGGGCCCCTCACTGCATGAAAGACATTGAGAGGGAAGAGCAATGAAGCTGTGAAGGCTCTGGAGCACAAGTGTTATGGGGAGCAACTATGGGAACTGGGATTGTTCAGTGTGGAGAAGAGGAGGTTGTGGTGAGGTGGAGATCAGCCTCTTGTCCCAGGTTAACAGTGATAGGATGAGAAGTGATGGCCTTAAGTTGCAGCAGGTGAGGTTCAGATTGGATATTAGGAAACATTTCTTAGAAAGGGCGGTGAGGCACTGGCACGGGCTGCCCAGTTAGGTGGTAGAGTCGTCATCCCTGGGGATGTGCAAGGGTAGATGTGGCACTAAGGGATGTGGTCTGGAGATGGGTTGGTAGATGTTGAGCTAGATGATCTCAGTGATCTTTCTTCTGATTCTGTTCCATACTCTGGGAAGTGCTGTGCATGTTGGCCTTCTGCTTTTATTTGCAGCTTTTGTAGTCTGTTCTTCTATTTAAAACAGTTGAGCTTGACCTTTATTTTCTTTATTTTGCCCTGTTTACCCTGAAGCTACCTTCAAGACCTGAGGTCTGTCCCTGATAACATGTGCTTCATGTTCTGAAGGGTGTGTTTTAGTGCATCTGTGCTATCTCTGGGTGCATGCTGCTGCATCTTATCGGTGTTACAGTTCTGGGCTTCCAAAACAGCCAGCAGCACGTACTCACCACACAGTTTGCACAGCAAAATCAAACTGCACACTCTGTGTGTGCTGATGTGCCTTTTCAATAAGATACATCTGTCTAGATTTAAGTTTGATGTCTATTTGAACTGTGTTTTGCTTGGAAGACCATGAAATGTGCACCTGGTTCAATGTCCCGAAGTGGGGAGCAGCTGCAGCTGCTGCTGTTCTGCTGGAGTTGTGCACTGATTGAAGTGATGAGACCCCTTTTCCTCTGCCTGGAAATGTAGTGCTTTAGCAATCTGAGAGTAATAGGTTATAACATTAAAATCAAATTTTTTAAAAAGTTACTGAAAAATTAAATTTGAAAAATTATTGAAAAAGATTTCAATATTTTTCCAATTAGCAACTTTATGAAATACTTCACTAAATCTATCTCTAAGAAGAGTGGAATGCCAGGGGGTTCTGTGTAGCAAAGCTTGTGTGCATGTGTTTTGATTGAGTTTGGAGGGCTTTAGGTAATTATTTTGTACCTCAGCAGCCAAGAGATCATAAAACAGAGCAAAGATGGAGTGAGGAACAGAGTTGAGAGGCATGGGTTTGCACCTGTAAGTCAGGTTGCCATGAGAAAAGCAGAAATCCGTCACTAGTGATGGAACGCAATTAATCCTGGTGTGCTGTTAATGGGCAGAGATTGTTGGCCAAACACAGAGATAATTGTTATTTGTAATCTTGGAGTGAAATAGTAATGCAGGATACGTGAGTGGTAGTACAAAAACAAATGTAGAAGCTGTCCTTCTCACTTAAACATCCACAGTGTATTTCCGCCTCCTAGGAACTTCATGCTCATTTGAATGGCTGTATCAGTTCTTCTACTATGAAGAAACTTATGGCACAGAAACCATACCTTCAGATCCAGAATGGAATGACTGTGATTGACAAAGGAAAGAAAAGAACCTTAGATGAGTGAGTAAACGTGTGAGATCACCATTTACTATGTACCTTTTAATTAAGTTGCAAGCTTAATTATGACTTTGTATACTGACTGCAGAAATATACGTAAATTTCAGCTTAGTAAAAACTTTTAGGTTTTGTTTTCTAGTTGTACCTATAAAGTCATTTCTTAAATATTTTGAAAGAAAATGGAAATCTCATGTTGACATTAATAATTTCTGTTGTAAATGTGCTTACTTCTGAAATCAGAAGTGGCCCTTAAGATGGTCTTGGTTGCCCTATAAACAAAATCCCATGTGCATTTTAAGCTACAAGGTGGTTAATTAACATAGTACAAGTTTTCACAGTATAGATTTTATATGAATGCTCAATTTACTGTTCAGTGTTTATTTTCTGACTTTTTATTTTAGATGTTTTCAGATGTTTCAGATCATCTATCAGATTACAACAAGGACTGAAGATATTTTACTGGTAAGTTGGTTAAAATAGTTTCAAACAAGCAAGTGACGTGCAAAGTCAAGGTTGGTTGGTTGAATTCTGAATAACAATGGTATTGACAAAGGTCCCTTCAAGTTACTAGTGTAAAATACATTGATGTAGAAATAGAGGATTAAAATAATGTTTCCATTTAATATTTTTTAAAGCAACAAGGTTCCAATATGGTGGTCCTTATTACTGCTCAGACACTTGGACTGATAGTGTCTTAAAAATATGATGTCTCAGTAGCAAAGCTTCAATTTATTATAGTCTCTTGTTTCTTCTTGTCCCATTTATGTACTCAAGCTACAGAACTGGAATTGTCTTTTGCTTGCCTCAGATTACAAAATTAACAAGAAGAATGGTTGTGTGATCACTATAGGGAGAATAAAGTGATGCAGTATCCTCTTTTCCTTATCTAAAAGGATTTTTAGGTGGCCTTTTAAATTACAGAAAGATACAGGAGCTGTGAAAGGGTTTGTGAATGCACCCGGTGAGGAGTTTTCTCATTCAGACAGGGAAATGCTTGTTTATCATAACCTGCTGTAGTATCTGTATGGGAAATGAAGGCACTTCCGTGGGGAGTATTTCCAGGGTCAAAGTGCTGGAAGCATCCATCCCGAAAACTTTTAAGCGTTCCATCAAAAGATAATTGGGTGTCATTTAGTTGTAAAAGAGAGTGTAAGCCATTATAACTATTATTTTAGTGATGTTGAATACGCTGTTTCTTAACTAGATAACTAAGGATGTTGTTAAAGAATTTGCTGATGATGGTGTCAAATATCTGGAATTAAGGAGCACTCCTCGAGAAGAAAATTCCACAGGTATAGTCTGTCCTAGTTGTTAATTCCTAAGTCTGATGTGCTTTAAAGCTCAGTTAAGACTGTGTTAATAACAAGGCACGTTAAATTCAATTGGATCAACTAAAATATACTTTAAATGTAGAAGTAAAATGTAGTGATGTGAAAATGTCATTTTATTGTTTACTGTTAGATTTTTGAGGAAAAAAAAAAAAGATGCACTGGTTATAATTCTGTTACCCAAGAATTTAAGTTACTGACTTTAGTAGGACATTTGATTCCTACTCAGTAGCTAATACATTTTATTTTTATTACTCCATTTCTTTTAATGTTATTTAATAGAAAGACATAAGAAAATTGCTTTTGCTACATTCTGATTCATAATGTTATTTTACTTCTCTGAGATGCTTAGAAGGAGGCTAATTAGTACTACGTGAATTAGAAAAAGGTGGAGAAAAATCAAAGGTGCAAAATGAGCAATGAGGCGAGAGAGCTGGGTCTGCAGTGTAAAAAAAAATAAATTAATTCACATATGTTGATTCCAAATGTGTACGTGTGTTTGTAGGTATGACCAAAAGGATGTATGTTGAAACTGTACTTGAGGGTATAAAGCAGTGTAAAGAAGAAGGCTTGGATATAGATGTAAGGTAAATGAGCCCATGGAGTGCCTCTGTTCAAGGTTTTGTCTAGTCTGATGCTCTATCATGGTTTTCAGAGAAGTTTACAAAAGAGTATGGAAAAGAAAATTGTCTAAACCAGATAAAATATATCTGTATATTTTTAAATTAGCATGTCATTGACTAATAAAATCTTTCTTACAGAAAGTCACCTTTGTAATGGAATAGAAAGATATTTTATATGCAAATTTAATTTTTCATCTTCATTTTTACCGATAGAGAATGAAGCTGGGTGCAACTTCTCTGCTTTAAATCTGTTCGTTCTCTGCAATGTTTTCAGGAAAGGCAGTGTTTTGAAGGAAATGCATTAGAGACTCTATTTCAGAGCCTACATTCTTTGCAGATGCTTTTGCTGGATTAGCTCTACAAGCAGCCTGCAGTAAAGGAGAGGTAGTTAAAAGGATCAGAAAAGTTTTAGAAGGTGTCAGTTGTTGCTTATGGACTATGAATCTACATGCCTGTATAAAAGATTCTCAATAGCAACCTGTTAGATTTGTTTGTGAGAGTTGAAGGTTTCTTATTTTTCATGTGTGCCTCTCCAAGAGGTTGCTCTCCTGGTACTGCAGGCAGCAGAAGAGCACTATATTGTATTGTTCCCTGCCCTCCTTCTCTCCATGGCTACTGCAGTTCACAAGCTATTGTATTTATCCAGTTGGTGTTCCTCTGTGCTTCAGTACCTTCATTCTCTGAACAGTTTGCTGTGCAAATGCTCTCTGTCGTCACCCATGAAGGAG